TAAAACAAATACAAATAAAACATCCTAAAATTTTTTTAAGCAAAGAATCAAGGAGGAAAAAAAATTCCAATTTTGGACTAGGGGCGACCCTAGTCAAAATCAATTTTGTCACTTTTTTCTTCAAGGGTTTATCCAAATGGATTGAAACTTTGCATAAATATTCAAGTGCTTAAAACAAATACAAATAAAACATCTTAAAATTTTTTTGAGCAAAGAACCAAGTAGGAACTACATTTTCAATTTTGGACTAGGGGCGACCCTAGTCAAAATCAATTTTGTCACTTTTTTCTTCGAGGGTTTATCCAAATGGATTGAAACTTTGCATTAATATTCTAGTGCTTAAAACAAATACAAATAAAACATCTTAAAATTTTACTGAGCAAAGAACCAAGTAGGAAATAAATTTTCAATTTTGGACTAGGGGCGACCCTAGTCAAAATCAATTTTCTCACTTTTTTCTTCGAGGGTTTATCCAAATGAATTGAAACTTTGCATAAATATTCTAGTGCTTAAAACAAATACAAATAAAACATCTTAAAATTTTTTTGAGCAAAGAACCAAGTAGGAACTACATTTTCAATTTTGGACTAGGGGCAACCCTAGTCAAAATCAATTTTTAAGATGTTTTATATGAATTGACATAATTCTGACATAAATCACATACCAATATTACTTTTTGTAATGCATAGCTTAAAAAAATCGAAATCTAAAATTTCGACTATCCCATCTGAATTTTGTACATACTCTTCACTGTGGAAACCAAAAAACAAATTCTTTATCTTAAAACACTTGACAAAATAGCGACATAATTCAGGATTAATTACTTTTTAATAATATTTTAACATTTACGAGAAAATGTGGTTCAAATAAGTGTGAAGGATGGCCGAGATTTGGACCAAAATACTGGTTCATAGTGTTCCCGAGGGTGACAAAATTCAAACTAAGTTTTTTTGTAGCTGACATAATTATAACATAAATTAGGTATAACTTTTGAACTGTGTCGATATGGGTCTCGGCCGTGCTTCATGCCCACCCTTCAAACTTATGCTGAGCAAATCTTGGTCTATCCATAAGACTTTTGATGGTACGGTGTGAATATATCCGCATTGGGTTTCTACCCGATACACTAGTTTTATGTCCATTTTAATCTTTCATAAATAAAAATACTTTAAAAAAAACTTTTTTTTAAAAAAGCACGCTTTTATTTCCGATTACAGAGCACTAAAAAGAAGAAAATAATTTTTTTTGCTAAGCTCTCAAATTTGATACAAAATTTTATGACTCAAAATAAAAGCGTGGGGCGTTAAATATAAACTAGCTCTAGATTTTCCAAAATTTATTTGAATTCAGTTTAATTATCCATTTCTTAATTCAACTTTTGTATTAAAACGAAAGGCCTTTTAACGTTTTGATCTCAAATTATTTTTTGACACAAAGGAACTAGTTAGATTTAGCAGAGAGTAAGACTTGATTTTTAGTGCCACACAGAAAACTCTACATTAATCTCATAAAGATCAAGTCTACCGTCTCAGATTTACCATAATTTGTATGGGCTCATCATTCTCCTTAGACAAACCTATAAACATTGAAGACCTAACGCTTATGTAAACATACAAATTCAAGATTAAGTGATATTTATAACAGCGCCCCACGCTTTTATTTTGAGTCATAAAATTTTGTATCAAATTTGAGAGCTTAGCAAAAAAAATTATTTTCTTCTTTTTAGTGCTCTGTAATCGGAAATAAAAGCGTGCTTTTTTAAAAAAAAGTTTTTTTTAAAGTATTTTATTTTCTACTTTTTAGTCTTTAAAATCTCCAAATCGATTCAACTTTCAAAATTCTAAACTTCACTTAGTTTCACTCCGTTTCGTTCAACTATTTATTGAATACCAGTTTTTAATGGGTAATTAGTAAAGACTATCAAAATTTTTCATTCGTTTTATATAATTTAATTCATACTTGGAAACACATTAAACTCTTAAAAGTGTCCTGAACATCAATTAGTAAAGTACATTAAAAATCAATCATAAAGATTTGGTGTTTATTCGTACCATTTCTACTTAATACTAAAGTATTTATAACGGATTTTTCAAATTTAATTTTAATGAATGTCATTTATATGTTATGCAAAACTACGTCAAGCCGTTGATAAAAAGAAAGTGAATTTCATTAAATGTTAGTCAATTGTTAAGAATCAATCAAATGCATTAAAAGCATATATATTATGCTCAAACGATGTGTGCTAAATGCATATTTGCATATCAATAGTTATTTTGTATTAAAAACGTAACTGACTTGCGCTTAACGGTTTTTTTAAAATTAAAATTTTCACTTACGAATATCCATGAAAAAATTACTTGTCAATTTTTTTACTGGTCTTACCAGAATATCTTTAGCTATTCAAATTTAGGGGCTGTTCACTTATTACGTAACGCGAAAAAATGACTTTTTAGACCCCCCCCCCCCCTCGTAACAAAATTTGTATGAAAAAAAAATTTCCTTGTTTGAACCGTAACAAAATCTTAGGCCCCCCTCCCCCCTAAAAGCGTTACGTAATAAATGAATGGCCCCTTATAGTATAATTAATAATTAATAATATTAATTAAACTATAATGAATCATGTAAATGACTTTTGAACATTTCAAGTATAATATTTTAAACAAATCAAAATTATATGTCATTGACATTGGATTTTTTCCCATATAAAAAAAGTTTTACTTAAATTGTACTATAATTAAGCATTTTTGTGGTTCCAAAATGTTAAAATATTGTATTGTCACCGAGAATAAGTGTGCATAAAAAATTTGAGCTCGATTGGAGCAGTAGAAGTGATCGAAATAACGATTACAAAATTTGACGCATGAAACATACAAACAGTGTGAGTTAAATAAAAGCGTGTAATAATAAAAAAGCAAGATTCAAAGCAAATTTTCCATTTCCGTTCTAAAACCCTTAAGGTTTAATTAGTTGAACCCAATAAAGTGAAATAAGTGTTAAAAGAGAATTAGCAATTTGTTACTCAATCACAAAATTAATAATGAATTAAATCAGGCTCGGAAACTAGGCGGTATTTGGAGGTATTTGTGTAGAAATTGAGGGTATTTGGCGGTATACCTGCTAGTTTTCAAGCCTGGGAATTAAATTAAATTTTGAAAAACGCTGACTTTAATGTTTTTAAAATAAGAATTTGAAAACGTTGGACCCATTCATATCTATTGATATTTTCCATTTAATTTGATTTGATGCTTCATCCTTTACTTCATTTCATGAAGTATTAACTCTATTCTGTCCTATTTTTGACACAGAATTATTTTCGAACCCATTCAACTGTCAAAACAGCAACCAAATTAATGAACACAAAAAGTTACACAAAACCACCAAAAAAAGTTGAGCTGTAAATTTTCTAAAATTCTTATGTCAATAAGCTTCTTCATCTCTTTTGGTGCCTCAACAATATTGTCAGCAGCAAATCAAAAATAATAAAAAGATGAAGAAAAATTAACAAGGCAAAGAGCTTAAAATGAAGAAGTCAAAAAACAAGAAGGAGGAACAAGAAGTTAAAAATTTCTGTATTTTTTATGAATGAACGACTGAACATGAATGAGTGGTGAGTGGCAAAAACAACAATCAAAAACAATCTGTCAGAATAAATGAAATGTAAAAATTTGAGGAATGAGGAGGAAGCAGTGCAAAAATTATTTTTTGATGAATTCACTTGACGATGCTGTAAGAAACTTTGCATGAACTAAAAGGAAAGGAAGAAGAAGCTGTAAAATAAATTTTTGTAACTGTTGCCGCTGTCGATTTTTTTTACATTTCAACAAAAAAAAAGAGAAAAGAATTCATGAACGATCGCACTTATTTGATTATTGCGTTATTTGCAAACGATTTCCTTCTTATACTTTTTGCTGTTCCTACCATGCCATGCCTTGCTGTGGCACACATTTTTTTCTGAAACAAAATTTCATGAATTTGAATTTTTCCATCATTTATTAAACTTTGTTTAGAGATTGTCGGGAATATCGGCACTTGGTTCCGAATAGGAAAATTATGCCAAAGCATATATGAATGCCTGCAGCACGCACATATCGCGAGAATATTTACTGAAAATGATAACACAAAATAATAATAGAAGAAATGAAATCATTATTAGACTTTTTTTTTGTTGCTGCCGTGTTTGAAAATTTATGAGGAAGTTCCTTACTTTCATTTCATTTTCAGAATTTTTGAATACATATGTGCTTATAAGCTTAAGGTTGGTGTATGCACAACGTGCTGTATGTGCGACACAGATACGCATTTTATTTTAATTTTGGTGGGTATGTGCGGGGGGGGGGGGGGGGGGGTTGCTGATTATGGTGACTATTTCTTAAATGTTATTATATTTTGGCTTTTTGGTGTATTCTTACTCGTTCACTTTAAAAGCTTAGCTTATTTCCCTTGAACCCCCTCCTCTTTCGCAAACCTCAAACAGCCAAGCAAAACACAACAAGCCCTCAAAACAGTCCCCAAGAGAATCAATCTTAAACAATTTATGTGACTTACTATGTCAATCATGCTTTTATGAATGACGCACACAAAACAGTCAGTGCCTGCTTGTCATTATACTTGCCGTTTTGTCATCACATCATATTATTATTCTTCCTTTATTCTGCTTTTATTTTCAAACTATGAAGATTGACGACACAAAAATGAAGACAAAAAAAATCGAGAGAGAAATAAAAATAATTCTTACGGCAGTTTATTGACATTCTGCATGGCATCAAGTCATCAATACTCATCAAAAGAGGAAAAAATAATAATGGAAAAGAAATTCGCGATGGATAAATCAAGCATGGCAATATTTTATAACATTTCATTGTCTCATTTTGACATATATTGATTCCTTATGATAATCATGGCTCTGTCGTGGATTATTTTGCTACTTTTTATGGTATAAGAAGAACATCTTCTGGGTCATGAACAACGTCTAATATTAAGACGTCATTTATGAACGATCCCTACAGATTTTCGTCTACAATTAATTCCCCAATATCTTCTGAGCTGATAATTGTATCTCCTGGATGAATTTTTGCATGCTTTATTTTTCTTAATTTCGATTCAACCTTTTTGGGTCTTAATCTTGCCTTAATAATGAAATATCCAATTTCTATTGCAAATACTAAGCCGCACATTCCACAACATCCAAGCCAAATTGTAAAACCAAAACTAAGTTTATAGACAGTCAGAACATTTGGTTCTTTAATAGCAATAAACTTTCTTTTAACACACAAAAAATCTTCAACAATTTTATCCACGATTCCAGTCGGTATCCAAGCATCCAAAATTCTATTCATGACTTGTAAATAAAAGTTATTCTTAAGAAACACAAAACCTGCTTGAGTGACTAAAATTGGATCTGAAAGCTGATGCCAATTTAGTGTTCTGCCATTTTTCGTCTCTTCAAATATAATCACTGAATGCTGAAAGATTAGACTCAACTTTGATGATGAATCCTGTGATGAGTTTAGAACCAATAAGTAAAATTCTTCTTCGTCAATGAATTCGAGTGCTGGCCAGTAGTCGTCATCATGAATCATTTCACGTGGATATTTTACACCGTCTGCTATGGCATAGAATTTGTAGTTCCTTTCCTTCAATTCTTTCATACTGGTTGGTGCTGGATGTCTTGGCGTACTTGTCATAAACTCAAACAGCTTACTTTGGTAACAAGTTCGAAAAATCAGGCAGAACAGGATAAAGTTCATCAAAATAAATCGTGGAAAGCTAAGAGTAGGGATTCGAGGTTGTGGAACTCCATAAAATGAGCTAATGACATTCAAAGCTGGAGATTTAACATTTGATCCATAAATGACTTCCTGAACTGTTTTCGGAAGTAAATTAAAAAAAAAATAACCAAAAAAGCAGTTATAAATGTTAAGATTAATAAAATCCAAGTTTGCGTATCGAAAGGAAGCAGCAACTTTTCATATGATGAATAAGGATCTCCAGGTGTTGTTAGAACAATATCACGAAACTCTATGAATGGAATAGAAAGATGAAAAAAATCTTTATCCTTATAACTCAGAAATTCAGAGCGGGTGAAGGAAAAACACACATTTGGCTGCTTGTAAGTTCTGTTTCTGTTGATAAAAACTTCCTCTAATTCAATTTTGCAAGGAAACATTTTAAAATTATCAACTAAGGCATATCGAAACCTAGGATTATAGTTAGCAGGTTTTGCAATAAGTTCAAACATTTTTGGAATCAATCCAAATGGTTCGATTGAGTATTTGGTCATTTTAAAATCCATCTATAAAGTTCTCATGTCCGAAACAATCATTAAAAGTTCACATCCATGAAAATCTCGGAACTTTTCATATTTTTCTAGCTTTTTGTTCCACTTTTGAGTACTTTTGTTAAAGGAATTCAAAATTTTCAACTGTGGTTCATTGCAAGCTTCTTCTGGAAAATACTCGATAGATGCAAAGTTCAGATGATCCTCATCATCAATCAAGACATATTCAAACACTTCCAATAAACTGTCGACAAAGGTCAAATTTGTTTGAATGATGAAAGCTTCCAAATTTAATTTAATTTTTTCTGATGTGCAATTTTCGATGCAGACAAGGAACTTAAAAGGTTTCGAATATAGATTAACCCGTTCTTTACTAGCGTAACATATATGTTACGCCAACTTTTTCTTAAAATTCTCTGTAATAGTTGATTTTACGTTGAATTTGATCAATGATTAACGTTTATAGCTAGATTAAGTACCTCCCTTTACATTTCATGTTGTTTAATTATGTAAATTGGAGAAGTTAATTAAACTTTTCTTTTACATGGAAAATTTAAACATTTTGAAACTCAAAATTTTAACATTTTCTGACACATTTTTGATCAGAACTGGACAGATTTATAAAGTAAATCATCTATAATTATAGTTAAAAACTCATTATTAAAGGTAAAGCATAGTTAAATACATTAACTATGTGACGATGATAAATGTAACATATATGTAACGCTAGGAAAATATGATATAAATTGTCCGTTACATATGTGTAACGCTAGGTTTTTGCAATTATATTAGTGTTTTGGATTTAAAATATTATTTAATTAATTTAATTGAATTGACTTTGATTTAAGCCAAATCATTATGTGGGCAGCTAAATTATGATAAGAGTGAAGTATTTTGTGGCCAATATAATAAAATTAGTGTTTCAAGGAAGATATTTTTACATTTGAAAAAATTTGATGAAAAAAATTAAACGAAAATTTGAAAGTGATTTTTCTAAGATTTAGACTGATTGCGAGTGTTTCATAGTGCATTGATTAATAAAATAGAATGGAAATAACGAGTTGGTGAGGTCCGAACGCTGAAAAATGTCTCATTTTAAAGATATGACATAAAATAAAAGTGTGAATAGATTTGAGTTATTTTCGTTTTCTTATGCATTAGAGTATTTAAATTGGACTCTAATTAAGTTAAATAGTATATTATAAATTATAAAGTATTGCATTATTGATATATGTTAAGGAAAGAGGTAAAATAAAAAAAATTAAAATTTTTGGCACAAAAAAATTTTGGCTTGCAAAATCCTAGTGTAACATATATGTTACGGACAAAATTTGTTAATTCTATTAAATCTGTGCATTAATTTGAGCCAAACTCTTCGTCAAACTTATTTTTATACTGCAATTCATCAAATAAATGCAGTCTAATGTCCCAAAAAAATTCCGTAATTAACGGGTTAAAAATTAATTGAGTCCAATGGATCTGCTTGTAAGATTGACACGAATACACAAAAATAATTGCGGATATATTATGAAAAAAAATTTTGCTTTTCATCTGATTAATGCTGTAAGAAAATGTTTCATTGATTTGTCTCAAAAACTTTCTGTGAAGGAAATCTGAATATTTTGAATCGTTGGCTTCGTCAACAACTATGTTAAAAAGTTGATCGCCAATGTAAAATTCATTAACAACATCATTTAGTGGTTTTAAGTTTGAAATTAAATTAAGATGTTCTGTCACATAATCAAGCTGTCCATTAACGATGTAAATTAAAAATAATTTGAAGATTTGTTTGCAAAACATTAGCTTTAGGTTTCAATGTACTTAATAGTAAAGAAACAAAATATATTTTATACTTTATTCAACGATGGCTTGAACTGAACTGAATATTCAATACCATGCTGACGAATTGCTAAGACAGACATCTAGACATGTAGACCAGTAATTAAGTTTTCTGTCTTTTTCTTATCTAATTAGATTGAAGATTTTGGAATATAATAATAATAATAATGTGTGAAGGGCCCAGCTTTTCAGCTAGAGGCACTGCGATTCAAATTAGAACAGAATCTATTGTACCACACCCTTTAGACCTACAGTTTATAGTGGGATCCGAACCACTTGCAAGCTCTGCACATTGCAAAGACACGTTATGCAAATGCAAAGAAATTTGCCATCACTCAAAACTCTTAAAAAGTCGCGTTTGATATCAATTTTGATCGGACGAGTTCAGTTAATATACTTTGGTGCTTTGCGACGCAAAATGTGAGGAACCACAGCTTTAACAACTTTAGAAAAATTGTCAAGTTATTAAGATAGAAAATCTTTGTATCACAATTGGAAATAGAAAACATGCAATATATTGTGTATGTAAAGCACTTAGTAATAGTTTATCAGTGATGCTCATTATGTTGTCCAACACTGAGCCACGTGTAGCTTCGACAAAAGGTTTAGCTCAATGCCAAAAACATCTTTTGATGAAATCAAGTGTACTAAAATCTATATCAGCCATTTGGGATTGGATCAAAATTTCTTTAGCTATAAAACTATTTTGATATTTTTCATAACCTATGAACTAGATGTTTATCATAATTTACACGCTTTTATTTCAATAAAATATTTTAAACTTAATCCTTGATTAAAATCTAAACTGTTTGGGGATACAAAATGTATTTTTGTGCTTTTAAATTTTTAATGACTTCATGTTATTCATTAATGTGCTTTTATGCTGGTAACACTGATAAGTGCAAGATTAGTGAGTTGTTTTAAATTAGAAATCCCATATATTTAGCTTCTGATTCTCATTTCATGTTCCCATTCAGAATGTTGATGATTAAAAGTTGCCAATAATATTGCAGTCCCTCCACCTTGTGCCGCTCGGGGTATACTAATGTAAAACAAGTCGGGTTCGATTGGAATCAAACCTATGACTCAAATGAAGCGATCTCTGATCGAGTGATCAGAGATCCCTGTCACTCGTGCATCGGGGTACTTATCTTACTTCAGCTATTAGTCATCCACGTATAACCAGTTTCAGCGCGAGCCCTTTGCTCAGGCTTATCTCCTACAGATATGCTCTTCGAGCCATATCTACATATATCGAATTGTGATGAATCGAACTTGGTTCAATTTGATTTTAATCAATTTAAGCAGTTCTATCTTCCAATTTCCTTAATTCTTCAACATCTTTAGATGTAACGATTGAACTTACAGGATGAACTTTCAAGAACTTTATTTTCCTAATTTTTAACCTCAATTTAACGTTTTTAGGTCGCAAATTTGACTTAATAATGAAATATCCAATTTCTATCGCAAATACTAAGCCGCACGATCCACAACATCCAAGCCAAATTGTAAATCCAAAGCTTAGCTTATCAACAGTTAAGATACTTGGCTTATTAGAAGCTATAAACTTTCTTTTAACACCCAAAAAATTTTCAACAATTTTATCCATGATTCCAGTCGGGATCCAAGCATTTAAAACTCTGTCCATGACTTTCAAATAAAAATTATTCAAATAAAAAGCAAAATCTGCTTTAGTGACTAAAGTTGGATCCGAAAGCTGGTGCCAATTTAATGTTCTACCTTTTTTTACCTCTTCAAATGGAATCATTAAATCTTGAACGATTATGCCTAGCTTTGATGATGAATCCTGTGATGAGTTTAAAATAATTGTAAAAAATTCTTTGTCATCGATGAATTCGAGTACCGGCCAGTTAACATCCGTGTTGATAATTCTTTTCGTATATTTTACACCATGTTTTTGAACATAGACTTTGTAATTCCTTTCTGCCAAATCTTTCATACTGGTTGGTGCTGGATGTCTTGGCGTACTTGTCATAAACTCAAACAGCTTACTTTGGTAACAAGTTCGAAAAATCAAGCAGAACAGGACGAAATTCATCAGAATAAATCGAGGAAAACTAAGAGTTGGAATTTGTGGCTGTGGAACTCCATAAAATGAGCTAATGACATTCAAAGCTGGAGATTTAACGTTTCCATAAAGGACATCCTGAACTGTTTTTGGGAGGAAATTAATAAGAAAAATAACCAAAAAAGCAGTAATAAATGTTGAAATTAATAAAATCCAAGTTGGTCTGTCGAAAGGAAGCAGCAACTTTTCATACGATGAATAAGGATCTCCAGGTGTTGTTAGAACAATTTCTCGAACTTCCAAGAAAGGTTTAGAAAAATGAAGATAATTGCTATCATCATTAGTCTGAGCTTCATAGCGGGAGATTGTAAAGCATACATTTGGATTCTTGTTTGTTTTATTGACACAAATTTCATTAAATCCTTCAATGCAAGGAAATAGAGTAGAATCTTTTACATAAGAAAATCGGTACTTAGGCTCATAGTTGACATGCTTAGCAATAAGTTCAAACATTTTTGGAATCAATCCAAATGGCTCGATTGAATTTCCAGATATTTTAATATCCATCCATATAGATGTCTTATTTGAAGCAAGCATGAACAGTTCACATCCATGAAAATCTCGAAATTTTTTATATTTTTGGAACTTCTTGTTCCACTTTTGAGTAGTTTTGTTAAAGGAATTTAAAATTTTCAATTGTGGTTCATCGCAAGCTTCTTCTGTAAAATATTCGACAGACACCAAGTACAGAAGATCGTTATCATCAATCAATAATAGTTCAAGCACTTCTATCATACTAATCAAGAAAGACAAACTGTGTTGATTAATATAAAGCTTTAAATTTCTTTTGAGTGTGTCCAATCTGCAGTTTTCGACGTAGACAAGAAAGTTGATAGGTCTTGAATAAAAATTTAGAACATATTGATTCCCGTGTATTTGCTTGTAAGATAAACATGAATACACAAAGATAATTGCCGAAATTGTATGAAAAATATCTTGTTCCTTCATCTGATTAATGCCGTATGCAAATTTTTCATTATTTTGTCTTAAGAACTTTTTATGTAGAAAATCTGAATATTTTGAATCAATAGCTTCAGTTATAAGGATGTTGAAAGGCTCAGTTCCAATGAAAAATTCATCAACCACATCATTTAGTGCTTTTAAGTTTGAAATCGAATTTTGAGCATTCATTCCAAGTTCAATCTTTGATTCTGCATAAGCAATGAATATTATTGAAAATTTTAAAATCTGCTTACAAAGCACAAGCTTCATTTTTCATATTTTTATTTTATCCAAGCAAAAGTAATATTTCAATCTTTTCTCAACAATGACTTAGACTTGACTAAAAATTGAACGTCATTCCTTCCGACGAATTATTAGGACAATAGTCTACATATAGACCAACAACATCGTGATAAATCAGACAATAAATTTTTCTGTCGATTTTTGTCCCTTCTTTGATTGGAATGACCAATTTAACAATTACATTTTTTCCAATGTCTTAACAAGTCTGTCGATAAAGCTGGATGTTCTTTTCAACTGTAAAGCTATGCTTAATGAAAGACTGTGATTTCTAATTAGAAAATGTTGCAGCTCACAAGGTTCACAATGATATCTAAGTTGGATGAAATGCCAAAGGTTGTACAACTTTAGGTATGAGAGTGAGAAAATATTAAAATATTTTTTGTGCCGTAGCTGAAAAAAGTCTGGACAACACTGTTATAAAAATTACGGAAGTCCTCGTGTTTTCGATCGAGGGACTTAAGCGCATTTTTGTGTTAGCGATCAGTATTTGATTATCTACATAATTTTTGCGTTCACTTTCAGATCATGAGAAGATTAGAAAATCATTAACTTTCCCGGGTGGACACAGCCAGTTAAAGTCCATTATTGGACAATCATTTAACAGTCTTTTAACTTGCCGAAATTTATACGACATAGAGAACTGGACATTAACTAGACATAATTGCAATTCCTATGTCCAGTTAAATGGAAAGCGCAAAATATGTCATTAGTCGTCCCTAAGTCTTGTTGTAAAGGCACTTCAATGGAAACTTACTCGCCATGAACAGGCAAGTCAATGGCAAGCTTTTAACTAGTACTTTGTCCACTCGGGTTTAGTGTTATTAACAAATAATTACAATGAATTTCCATATAGAAAGGCTTTATCATTTAACGGTATTTTGGAATTGATATTTTCTAACGGTCAATAAATATTTGAAATTATAGAGATAATGTTGAAATTATAGAGGGCATCAAAAAATTTGAACAGGTTGCACAGTACTAAAATAAAAAAAATCATTAATTATAGCACAAAGCCATTGTTATATGCTTCAAAAATATTCGATCGGCCAATAACTCGATAGAACTGAGCTAATAAAACAAACCCGAGCTCTCTACGATGTCTGGTTAAAAAATTTTTCTTCACCCGAACGAGCAGCCGAACAAAGTGCATTATTAAGCTACCTTTTCGAAACAAGTTTCAAAAATGCGCTAAAAATCAATTCCCTCCCTGACTCTAAAACGGAAGTCTTGTTAAGCCAATAATATCGGGGACATGTTTAAGAGGTCCGTGGTGGTGGGGGTGTTGAAAAGATTGATGTCAGGTGTGGATGTTGACATGGTGGGTGTAAAGTGATGGGGGGTTAGGGTGTATAGTTTAAGTTTTGTATAGCAGTTTATTAAGGTTTTTGTCGGATTAAGGGGGTATATCAGACCTCAAAACGTAATCAAAATGACAGAAAATCTCTTTAGGTTCCATCTGTTTCGAGCTTCATCACTTAATGTGCCTAGTTGACATTAGCACATGAACTACTTCAAATCGCTTTAATTTTTCACTGTATTCTGCACAAGTCGATTAATCGAATAGAAATTCGGCATTAAGCTGGCGTAACTTAAGCATGATGCTGGATTGATTTAAGTTTATTATTTGAGAAACACTTTTTTTACACACACACTTTTGTCTTTAAGGATGGTTGATTCCTGCAACTCTGTCAAATCGTACAAACCGAGTTGACATGACTAAAACAGCAAAAAAGCACTCGAAATCCGAATAGATATTCCCTGGGATCGAACCAGGTTCGTTGAGGTTGGTTGGTTGGCCAACACTCTAACCACTACACTGCCTTAGACAAAAAATGTCAATCAAACAAATTAAAAATATTATGTTGACAAAGTATGAAAGATAAATAATTGAACATCCAAACTTATCATTAAAGTTTTGGAATCAAAAAATTGCATAGTAAGATGCACATTGGAACATTCTTTCCATAGCCACAGATTTATGCATGAATTTTTATGGAAATCTCAAGTGACTTTAATGATAATAATCATGATAATCAAAAAATACAAAAATATGAAGAGAATTGAAAAAGGCAAAACCGCTTTCAGCTTTAAAAATATATCGAGTCGGTGAAGAATGAAAAGAAGCAAACAAGAAGAAAAAGAAGAAAGGAAATGATTATGGGACATAAAGAAAAGAAAGATTGTAGATAATAATAAATAATAAAGAGAATCAAAACAAACACACAGAATGGGCTTACAAAACATTGACGGGTGAGTGACTATCTAAGATTAATCCTAAATTTTTGGGGAGAATCTTAAGTCAGATCAAATATTTCACTCCATTCATGTCTCATGACCTCCTTCTATCCACAAAGAAATTCATTTCCTTTACTTTATGTATCTTAAAAGCATCAATTGAATAAAATTAGATGAAAACAAGGAATGAGATTCCAAAAAATGGGCAGCAGTGGTTGTAAATGCTGCAACATAACCCACATCAAGCAAAAAAAAAATGAACATCCACATCTAATCCCTTTAACTCATGCATAACAAGAAAATGCCTAAAATTTCTCAATTTCCACATGTTTTATTTACTTACATCGATTTATGCTGTCTATCGGATCCATATATAATCATAAATATATATGTTGACTATAGAAAGTTTTCTCTTATTGTTAAATTCGTACATCCATGCATCAACCAACATGTTCATTTGGACATTTATTATACTTGCTATTGTATGTAATATTTCTTAATTTTGCATTCAATTTTTTGCTGCACTACAAAATCATTTTTCAGTCAGAGTTGATGCTTGTGGGTTTTGTACTTGGTTGGAAATAATTTTTTAAAGGGTTGTAAGCCTTAAGCTTTTTACTTGTCTGAGTTGCAGGTATACGTGGTATTATGATTGTATTGCCAAATTTTTGAGATATGATGATGAAACCTGTGACTGAACAATTGTTCTGCTATCGATAGTTAAACTAGAAGTCTAGTTAGATTCCAACTCAGGCGCGTAGCCAGGAGGGTATTGTCCCCTTCTTAAGCGTTTTAGGCCGTGGTATCGCTGCAGTTCAAAACGTTTAAGGAGATGGGGACAAGACCTTCCTGGCTACACTCCTATTTCAACTTAAAATTATTATATTTTTGAACTAGTATGACTACTTGGAGTAGCTAGAACCTTCACAGATGTGAACATGGGCCTTAAAAATTTTATTCGAAGTGTCAATCGTTGATTTTGATGTTTTTAAAGTTTATAACCAAAACATCGCGTTTTCTTACTTAGATCGATGACCTTATAGATGAATTTTGATCTATGGCCTCTCTCAGATGGCACCTAAAGCTGGCTCTATTGATTACCATTTATTAGATTCCAAGACCCTTAAGCAGAGCTCGAAGTCGATTCGAGATTTTCATCCATACAAAATTCCATCTACTTCGAGCTCTGCCCTTAAGATTCTCCCCTTGTTTGAAATTGATTAGACACACTGCTTATAGCATCGTAAAGCCTTACAGTGACTATTTTTTCATTATTTTCTAATTATTTTAATAAAAAGATCACAACTCTCCCCATCTTTTGATAAACTTCCACTGTTAAAGACTATTAAGCAACTTACTTCATATTCAACTGCTCATTCATAGCAATAGTACTTGAGTTCTGCATTCCAGATGGCTTGAGCATATGCTCATACCAGTTATGCAACATTTCAAGCATATTCACGAAAAAAATACGAAAATTGCCATCTCTGCACAAAAAAACATGAACGGAATGAATGAAATGAAGGAAATAATTATGTACTTATGTTGTGTTACGTCATGATTCTCTTCTCTTTCGTCTCCTTTATTTCTCGTCATCATCTTTTCATCATCCTCATGCAAATGCTTTCTTTTGTTGTTGTTGCTGCTTTTTTTTCTTTGTTATTGGGCTTTAACCTTCTTACTTTCCTACATATCCGACATTCTCGTAATCGGCACAATTTCCATATGCATTGCATAAATAAAAGAGTATGTAAATAGAGAATAAAAATGAATGCAAGTACGTACATCAAAGTACATGCGAAAAATGCCATAAACATGAAACATATTTTTCATTACTTGAATAAAAATTCTTAAATAAGCACTTTCTTTCAGCTCAAATTCAACGAAGCTCAAATCATAGATCGTAAATTATGCAAAGTATGTGCATATACATATCTGCCGACATGAATGTCTGCTCAGGATGTTCTGAAGCAATAAAAACAGGAAAAAAATTTCTTCACTCAAATTTTCAGATTGTATGAAGACAACAACAGTAACAGAAGTTCTATCTCATGAGAGAGTGAGAACATAATGACACCCACAGGCAATTCCTGTGCATGTGCTTCAGGAAATTGGTTTTTTGCTTAAAATTTAATTGAAAATTTGCAAACGAAAAAAATAATTGCTTAATTAATTAACAAATAAATTGATTTTGTGTCAACATTTGCTGTTGCAACTAGCAAATAATAATTTAGAATTTTTTTTTCACTACCTGCTCTGTGTGTGTTTATGGCTGGTCACGCTGATGCTGTGGATATAAATTTATTCATTCAATAATATTGCAATTTATGAGTTTTATTATTTTTGTTGTTACAAAATTAATTCACAATTTTTTATTTTTTTTTGATATTTTGCACAGTTGCAGCCACAAATAATCAAATTCAAATGAAAGCTTTAAGCAAATTTGGAATTGCAATTAATATTTTTTTTATTTTTTTTATTGTCGATTGCTGAATTTAATTTTGAATTATTTGACATTTATTGGGGTAGACAGTCAATTATTTTTAATATAATGAGACAGCAGTGATATGAGCTAGTTTTGGTCTCAATATGTATTGATTTCTGATTCACTTTTAGGTGAGTTTTGGATCATTATTCAAATAACTTTAGAGCTGAAATTCTTACGAAAACTATATTTTACTCACTTTTGAGCGACTCTTTCCCACCAAAATATTAGTGTTTTTGGAAAGGTA